CTCTCTCAAACCTTCTTCTCAGTCCAAACACTGGCGTCTGAAGAAGCCCCTCGATGAGGGCGAAACATCTTTACAAGCCTAAAGCGATCCAGTCCTACACAGATGCTTGATAAAGACTTTTGATTCAACTTTTGATCACAAAGTTGACGTCATTCTCACAACGATCGGGAGGACTGATCGATGTTCTGACTTTGTGAGCTGGTGCCAGCAGGAGGTCAAACATTTGATTTGCAGTGCTTTGGTCAACTTTGTGTTGATTCTGGTTAATGTTCTTTTTTTGACCAAAACTCTTTGAAATACTCATTAAACTGACTGCAGATCTATTTTTTTAGATTAAATCTTATTTTTGTTTTTTTCTCAGAGCCCGACAAGCAGCGACGATGTCTCAGGTAAATCCTCCTCTCAGCTTCATCACAGAGTTTATTTAGTTTTTTTAGCTTCTTTGTGTAAAATGAGCTGCAGTGAGTGTTTGTGGTACTGAAGGGAGATTTTACTGGACTTTATTTAAGTTGAAGCACATTCACATCAGGATTTGTCACGATGTCAGATACGTTTGTTCTGATTTGACTGATTATTCATCGTTTTTATGAAGAAAAACAATAAGATCAACTTTAAATCAGTTTGATGTGTTCAAGCTTCATCTGAGCTTTTCTCTGAGCTCCTGTGTTCATGTTTGCTGATCATCACTCTAAACTGGACAAACTGGATCCTCTTGATTCTCAGACTCATCGACAGACTCAAAGAAGCCTCCGGCTGAACCTGGAAGTGGAGCTGCTGCTGCCAACAAAGAGGGTAAAAAAACTGATGGAACAAATGTTGTGACAGTAATTTATGAAAACTGTGCCACAGTGTCAAAGCTGGAGCTGGTTCAAATTTAATATTTCTGTACGTGACAGTTTGTTTTAATTCCTCTGCTGTTAAAAGCTGTGGTCACACATGCACTGAGTGAACTCAAGTATGAACTCAATGTCTGAGTGTGACAGTAAATGTATTAAAACCAGTGTAAAGTCCAGTTGTGAGCATGTGTGAACAGAACAGCAGCATGTGTGCCGATGTTCACAGTGTGGAGTAAATGTGCTGTTTTTGCAGATATAATAGTCGGGATAGAGAAATGCATAGAGATGGGGGGTGACTTTGTTACTATATTATGTAATGTCAGTGTTCATGAGACTCTCAGGTCTTATTGATGAGTTCTTGTTCATGAAGATGTGGTCCTGAGGGAGTGGAGCCCCCTCTTCAGAGGTTTGTTGGACACAGCAGTATGGAGGTCAGCTCACTGACACAGTGGACCTGCACTGTGCTCATGCCTGGTTGTCACAGACTCTCAGTGTCGTAGCTTCACGCCTGTAGTCATTGTGTGAAAGAGGTTTACTCAGCAGTGTGAAGGACTCACAATTAAAATATTTTTATTAGAAATAAATAATAAGCACTTACACCCTGATGCACTTACACCCTTACAACACTGATGGGCTGTTTCTGACTCATGTTTCTCTCAGACTCAGAGTCGTCTCAGAGCTGTGCGGTGGTTTTGGAAAACGTCACAGACAACATGTCCACAGATCTGCTCTCCATGCTGGTGGAGAACATCTCTGGGTTGGATGAGAACGGCTACAGCATGGAGA